AAAAAACCTACTTCGGGTAATTAGGCTCCGTGTGCTCCTCTCTCATATGACGATTCATGACCACCAGTGAAGCGAACCACTTCTGACAGTATTTACACTGAGCCTAAATGGAGTAAAGAGCATAACATTGCCAAAGTTTTCCTAGTTTTATTTATGGTTCTTCTGGAAGCTTTTCTCGTTCGCAGTTCACTTAGACCTCACTTACGACTGCAGAATGCTTACAAAGGTCCAATGCAATCATAATATGCGCTAATGGGAGTGGCGAACGACGCCGCGGACAAGTTGTCTTGTCTGGCCGTTTGAATTAGAGCGTCAAAAGGATGGGAAATTACGATATCGCCTGATATGGAACATTGTCTCCACTTGGATTCCGTAAGAGTTTCGCTGCTTCAGCAGATGTAATCCTAAACTGGCGCCCGTCGAAAGTGCCGCGCTAGCCGCATGAACGTCGTGTACCACAACACGACACGTTACGATTTTCTTGTTCCGACCCTCTCACGAGTAGAGAAAAGGGAGGAGTTCACAGGATAGCATGGTGGGACACGACTTGAAAAAGAGAACAGGAAAGAAAAAGAAAAAGACAGACAGACAGACAGACAGACAGACAGACAGACAGACAGACAGACAGACAGACAGACAGTCAGGCAGAAGCACACACAAACTGACCAGCGCTTGCAGGTATGGACCTCTCCCTTCACCTCCCCCTCCCAAAGGTTATCAGCGCCCAATTTCGAATAGCTGCACGTGATAGCTATGTGGAACAATAGAAAAAACTCTGATGCTACAACCGTAATGGAAAATTCTTTTTCAGGCTATCCTAATGTATAGTTTTGGTAACACGTAACGCGGTAAAGTCGCGAGTTTGGTGTCTGCTCAACAGCCTGTGGATCGAGCTTGCAGACAGCCTTTTTTGTATGACCAAGATGGCGTAAACAACGCAGTCCAGCCGAGACGTAGCTTAAATGAGAAGGACAATGCAGAATAAAACAAAACAACGGCTTGAAATCCTCAAAAACGTTTAAATGGATCTCTCACTTATTCTCCTTACAGAGAGAGACTACGAAGTGAGATGGACATCCGATCATGATCTTCCCACATCTCCCGTCATTACTGGCTCGAACCTCTTCCATATGTTGTCGCCACTGACTGCAGTACAAACAATAATAATGTGCCCGGATGACCCCTAAAAGTGCTTTTTGGAGAATTTCCTTTCATGGGCTTTGAATAAACGGAAATGATGGAATTACCGTCACTTTCTTCCCGTTCACCGTGCTCTACCATAGTTGTGTCAAAGGCTTTTTGATGTGATGCTCTCCATAACTATAATAATTCTCATATACTATACATTTTATATATCGATTTACCTACCAGGCTGTCCGGAATGTTTTGATAAGCACTTCAAATAAACATATTTTCTTTTCTATTCTTATTTTCTTTTCTACTCTTATTTCAAAAGTATTTGAGTGATGATGCTGACAATATAATCCGAAGCACAGGAGACCAGTTCTACAGGTCCTCTACATCTGCGCGATCTCGACACTTCTTTTTCATTGCCTCTCACGTGAAAACTACCAATGCCGAGTTCAGAGAGGTGAAGATATCACTCCGTCAACTGATAATCGTCAAGTACACCTATGCCTCACCAAGACAAGATACCAAAACCTCCTAAGCGACGACAAACAGCGCAAAAAGTAAGGAAGATATATTCGATCTTAAACCTATTTAGGCAATGAAGATGCTATTCTTCGGAAAAATTATCGAAATTTCCCGTCCAACCTAAAAGTCAAAACTCTCACCTCATATTTTTCCCGTGAGATAAACGTCAACTTTCTCGGCCTGAACTGATGTTGGCAATGGAAACTGACTAAATGCGAGATCAAATCGTCTACACTGCTAAATGTCGATTGACAATGCGGATGCGCACATGCTAGTGTATCCGTAGACAATTTCTGAAATAAAGCAGTGATGGTGACTTTGAAAGCTCATAGTGGAACATTCAAAATTTTCATAGTGATTAAAACGTTTAATGGTATAGAAACAAAAAAAGAGAGCAAAATAACAGGGAGTTGATAAGGTGGCCCTTGACTGGCTCCACGTAAGAGGCTTTCACTAGCTAGCATTCTAGTAGTAACGCGACTTATGTCACCTCTTGAAAAGTCACTTTTACTACTTTACCGTATCGTGTAACTCCCAACCTATAGCCATAAAAAAGAGCCACTCGATATTCTGCACAATTAACTGAATTTTCAAACTGAGTGGAACAAGAGGATGACAGATTGACTGGGAAAAGATATAGTCTTCGTTGCTGCAGATGATGGGGCGTGCCGGCTGCGTTTGACGCTGCGCCAGCGCGCTTTTTTTTGCTCACGACAGACTGCATCATATCGTTCGTACCAGTCGTTTTTCACCAGATGTTGTTGCTAATCCTTCTTCAGCAACTGGCGGAGAACAGGCTGGTGCCAAAGCCAGCCGCGCTGACCCCTATCATCCGCAACAACCGTGACGGCAATACTACTGAGGTGTTGCAAGGTTCGGTGAAATTCTATTGCAAGGTAGCGATGTTCAGCTCACCTTATTCTTCTTCTGAACACCGTGTGAGGTTGAAGGCTCAGCGCTAGTGACCAAAGGTGGAGGTTTCGTCTCTTCTGAAGTTGTATTTATCACAAAAGATATCACTGCAGAGAGAAACTCAGTGGTTTCGAAAACCTACTAGTGATGGAAGACGACTGCTCTACCTTTACATCACGTAACAGGGACTCCTCCTGCAACTCCGGAGATCGAGATTTCGACAAACTATGATCCTCTTGAATCGCACGAAGAGTCTAAATAATATTTGGTAAGCTCGCAGACTTCCCGAGATTCTTACATACCCTCGTCGCCATCGTCATTTCATCGAGCGGTAATTTGGAGACAACAAGTGTACCGATACCTTCATCCTGGAAAAAATCACACTACATAATCACTACTAAAAGATGTGCTGATTTATGGGCGGAACTGTTCGCTTCAGCACTCGAACCTGGATTCTACCCTAACCACCCTATGGAGCTAACTAATACACCACAAAAGCCGCTTCTTCGCTAGGCATCAGGTAGAAATTATAAGCGTTCACACTTGAAATGAGGATCGGGCTCGAGTCTCGGTAATGAAAAAGCCTCCTTCATTATGATACCTGTCTATAGGACCACAGTATACGCTCCGAATCTTACCACAACAGTGGTCACATATGGGCAAAAGACTTGACCATAAGTGGGACTTAAACGTGCACCTCATGCTTCTGATAACAAACGAGAGAACAAATTTAGAATGAATGAACTCACCGCAAGTACTGGAGCGCGCTTCGATGGTACTGCTGCACCAGATTCCCATTCTTCGGTCCCCTTTTGATCCTTTGGATTCCTCAGGCCAACCAGAGGGACAGATGGGATACTCTCCGCTCTCCCTAAAACATTATATTGCAGTTAGTTAGTATTTGTTTAATGACCGCGAGCAAGGTACAAAGCTTGCTCAAATGAAACCATCAAGTTTTAAACAAAAGCTGCTCACCACGGCCTACTAATGTAATTCTGGGGGTTGTTCGAACCACTAATGGAGGCTTAAGGCTTGTAGTTGCCTTATTCCAGCGAGCAGGCATCTTTTGTATTCTACCTGAATCGATAATAAAAATCATACTAATATCGGAAATTTTTTAGATAGCGCCGCGCCTCTATATTACCGTGGAGCCAACACTCAAAGAGTAGTAAACCACTGATGCCAACTACAAAAGAACAAAGCACAGCCTGCCTAGGTCGGATGCGGGGTGAAATAGATGCTCTGAAGATGCCGCCCATAAACCACTTTTGCCAGGGAATCGCAGGATAATGAAGGAATTAGGAAATCTGCAGATATTGCGACCAACGGCGTCAACAGTTGCTAGTTGCTAGTTGCAGAAAAGAGCTAAAGAGCAGAGGAGTGCAGTGGTCACTCCACTAAGGGATCAGAAGACATCATATGTGCACAAATCCCCGCGAAGGCCTTCTAAGAAATACCCCGCGACTGCATCTTGTGGGCAGTGACGTTCAGTAACGAATCTATGGTCGCTGAATCTGACTCCATGAAGAAAGCAAAAAGAACCATCGAGAGCACCCCAAGTAACGATTTCCTGGCAGCTTCACTGTACGAGATTCTTGAACCTGCTCGCTTCATGACAGCAAAGGGGTTTCTTGCTGCCTCTGGCTCACTAATCGTGCCTTCGCATCACCTAATAGTAACAGTAAAAAAAGACAAAAACACGGTTCAGAGACGAAAACCGTGACAGGAACTAGTCTTCGAGTGCGTCTCGTGGAAAACTGGGATTTGGGAAACACACTATCTGACGAACTACTGCACTAATGCAACTACATCTTGGTACTTTGAGCGTGTCCTACTGCGAAATGGACTGCTTTTGACAGTATGGGTTCTTGATGAAAAAAGGTAACAAAGGGAGAGACTTATGAACGCGGGCACAGCCAGCAATCTAGACAGTTCAGATTTATCCCCGCAGCTCCACCAAACAATAACTAGTGTAAAATGTAAAGAGGACGTTTGTAGGAAGCCGTTCAGCGGTTCGGGTATCAGAACTTGAACTTATGACGGTTACAGCACCCTCGTGTCTCACTGTGGAGCCGCAAAATTGGGTCACTTTCTAAGCCTGCAGACTGGAAAACTCCGAACAAGGTACGACGTTGACGAACTATTTGGGCTCGTGGCCTGTTCTCAAGTTGTCTATTTCTGGCGAGTATTCCTTGACATTCTCAGCTTCCTCTCTCAACCTAACTGCGTCTTCTAATACAAATACTCTACACATGGATAAGCCCATTCAGCTAAGTCGTGGAAATCTACTACAATCAAAAACCCTGTTGGAGATAGGCACAGTTCCAGGAATTCAAATCCACCACCACCAAGGCCAGCCATTACCCGAGGGAATTCTTTGCGCTCAACGAGTGTGGTAAGGAATCATTGCAACGGAAAATTGACCTGTCCAATTCGACTAGCTCAAAAAATACTGAGGTAGCACTACACACTTACCTTGAGAATCAGCTGAAGGATGTAATGTCTTTAGATCGATGACATGGGAAGAGAGTATCTGAAAACTGATGCGTTCTTGGCATACTGCGAAATGGAGAAGGCTTTCATAGATTTGCCAGACCACGCCTGTCATCAGTACAATACCCATTCAATAAGAAAAGCTTTAATTCCAGAATGAAACTTATGTTGTTGCGGTACTAGTGGAAAGAAACCACTATAGATAAGAACCTCAACTTAGTCATAAAACAATCCCGGGAAGCTTTCATCATAGTCCCATGACTAACATATTGGGCACTTACGCAGCCCGGGGACCACTCGGCCGCACCTCTGTGTCGATTAACC